CTCGTCCCCCCCCCCTGCTGCCGCAGTTTCCCTGCTTTTCTGCCTGCCTGTCAGCTGCTCCTGCACCACATGGTTCCTGGCTGCATTGTTGGACTGCAGGACTTAGCAGGAGCCCCCACAATTTTCAACTGGCTCTGTGCGGTGCCAGCCAGGCCAGGTCGGCTCTTGCTGCGTCCCTCCGGTCTCGGCTGTATAGCTGGGATATGGTGCCAGGGCAGTGAGTCGGGGGGTGGGGGGGGCGAGAAACATACATGCACACCCCACACCTCCTCACACACCCTAGCCACCCCCCTTTCACACAAGCCACAACCCTGCCCATCCCCCCTCCCCCCTACACACTCACAGCCCCCGACAAACCCCATAGCCACCCACACCCCACATGCTCCCCCACCTCACATATCCACACACACCCACACGCCCCATACATGCCCACCCCTACACCTATGCAGTCCCCAACAAGCCCACACACATGCCCACACCCTCCCCCACACCCCACATACCCACAGCCCCCCCCAAACCTATACCCACCAACCCATACCCCCCACAATATACAAGAGTAAGACTTCATGTTACGTTATCGTGCAATCACCTCTATGTACACTATGCAAACACAAGTAAATCCCGGACAAAAATATTTTTTTAAATCAAATTAATGAATGTTGTAGTAGATGTTTGATTTTTAAAATATAATTTGGTATTTTTCTGGTTCTGAGATGGCAAACCACCTTGCTGAAAGGAGTACTTCTGGGAGGAAGGGGAGGGACTTCTGGTGGCAAAAGGCAGGGTTTAGGGGGTGGGACTTCCAGTCCCAAGATGGTGATCAGGGGGCGGGGCACCTGTCAAGGGACAGGGCTACCTTTGGCCCTCAACAGCTTGCCAAAAATCAGTAAGCGGCCCTCCACCTGAAATAATTGCCCACCCTGATGTAGATCCACTGATTTTCCTCCTTTCCTCAGCTTGTGTCTTACTGAAATAGTTAAGAGATTTTTCTGTTGCAGTCATTCTGTTTTATGAGAGCGTATCTGCTTAGTGATATGAACTGGCTCAGCAAAGGCCAGGAAAGATTAAATGTTTTAATTCTGTTGTGAGGTTGTTTCATCGATTCCCACTGGAGCAACTGCCACCCCACCCTGAATTAAATACTTGGTGAAAGTCTCATTGGTTGCATAATTTGCAGAGGCTTGCTAAGGCTAAATGTCATTGCCACCACTTCTGGTACTGATGAATTGAGCCCTGTCATGAGCCAGTGGAGCTCCAGTGCTTTGGCCAGAGGATGAAATTTCTTTCACTCCTGTAGATCTTAACAATCTGAGACTGTCTGCACCACAATCAAAGGCACGATTATAGGACAAGCAGGGAGCATGGACTAGCTTTAATTTAACCTGCTCAGGTACCAAAACAGTGAAGACTGGTAATGGACTTCAGTGCGAGCTGTACAAACCTGCCCAGAATCCTGGGTACAAAATTGAGTTACTCATCCAAATTCATGTCACTGCATCTCCAGTGCATTTGTCATGCAAGATAGCTTGGGCATGTCTCTCCCCCTTCCCCCGATATGTGCTGCAGTCATACCACCGAATGCCCCACCATCACGCCATATTATCTGCCTCTTCAACCCCAGTGACAACACAACTATTCTTCTCATCATTCATTATAAAGTGTAGTGGCTCAGGCACTGGCCTGGGATTTCAGTAACTTGATTTCTCTTTCTTGCCTCTGCCACTAATGTATCTTGTGATTTGGTCACTTCACATCTTTCTGACACTTTCCACTTGTTCCTCTGTCTTTGCCTTGTTTAGTTAGGTTCTCAGCTCTTCAGGGTACATTTTCTCTGTCTAGTACCTGGCAAAGTAAGCCTCTGATCCCTGATAGGGCCCTTTGGGCCCTACTCAGCCTTGACTTGATCTTCTCTATGGAGCAGAGTATGGAGGTTAAATCTCGCCACTTCATCCTACCCAAGATTTCAGAGGCCTGGTCTTCCCTGTTTGTGCTCAGGCTAAGACCAGCATGCACCTTCCTCTCTGGCCATGGCTATTGCAGCTTTGCCTCATTCAAGGCATTTTAAAATGCTGCTGTGAAGACCACCTTTTCTGCTCACCCTTCTGGCTATCTTGCATCCTCTGACTTCCCCTTCTCCAGTACATCAGTTATAGGCTGCTTGTCCTTATCCTGTAGGCTCTTTATATCTTA